GTGGAACGGGCGCCGTGGGAGCTGCGGCCTGGCAGCACTTCTCCAAGCACCGAAACAAGGGGTTTAGGGTTTAGGGTTTAAGGTTTAGGGTTTAGGGTTTAGGGTTTGGGGTTTGGGGTTTGGAGTTTGGGGTTTGGGGTTTGTGGTTTAGGGTTTGGGGTTTGGGGTTTGGGTTTAGGGTTGAGGGTTTGGGGTTTAGGGTATGATTTTAACGACGGTGTTAGAGGGAATTAGGGAGGGTGTTATTTATGAAGGTGTTTTACGGAACTGGCAAGGTTTCATAGGCGTTTGTCAGGGTTGGCGAAGGTGATTGTTGAGGGTTTTCCTGGCTGTTTACAAAGGCGAACCCTCACCTATGACTTACGGTAGTTGTGACTTAAATTCCAAGTTTCGAGACATATCAAGACTAGCTGCGCACAGGTCCTTGCACAGTCTATACACCTGCTCCGGTGTTAGGGTTTAAAGTTTAGGTCTAAAGGGTTAATGGTTTAACGTTTGTGTCTCAGGTCTACGGTTTAGGGTGTAGGGTTTTAGGGTTTTGGGTTTAGGGGTTTAGGGCGGAGAGGTCGACACGACACGGTACAGGGAGATGTCAAAGGAGGGATCCCGCCACCATCAACGCCCCATCTGACCGGTTTTGTAAGGTTATAGGGTTTAGGGTTTAGGGTTTACGGGTTGCCCCACCCTGCAACTCCAACCCTCAAGCACGCCAGAAAGCCCCAAAACTTTGGTCACGTGAACCCGAAAATCGAAACCCTAAACCCTAAATCCTAAACCCTAAATCCTAAACCCTAAACCCTAACTCCTAAATGAACGACCCTAAACCCTAAACTTTAAACCCTATGCAAACCCTAAACCCTAAATCCTAAACCGAAGCCCGAAACTCCCGGTTCTAAACCCTAAACCCCGAGGTTTAGGGTTTAGGGTTTTAGGGTTTAGGGTTTAGGACTTCGGGCTTTAGGACTTAGGGTTAAGGGGTTTACGGTTTAGGGTACCTCAAACCACTAGAACCCACCAAAATCCTCGATCGCGGAAGCCTTGCGCCACAACTTGACCCAGAACCATGATAAACTCCAAAAGCCCTAGCCCTCTACACCTTGAAGCAGCAGGGTCAGGGTTTAGGGTTCAGGTTTAGGGTTTAGGGTTTAGGGTTTAGGGTCCAAGCTTAATTCATCTCAGGCTGTGGCTAAGGAGATAAGGCGTGCATGAGGAGCCGTCGTCCTGAAAGCAGGACTTCAGTTCTTCTTTGAAGGGTTTCGGGTCAGGGTCACAGTTTGATGAGCAATTGCTAGATAAGAGGTATTACTTGGGGGTTTCCGAAAATAGGGGACCCTAATATAGTGCCCTAGATAGTAGGATCCTTATTATAAGGACCCCCAGAATAAGGTGCCCTGGTTTTCGGAAACTCCCACTTCCCTTCGAAGGTCAGGAAACACTATTCTTTCGTCATCCCAAGATCCCCCCGCCTCAGTCCAGCTCGCCTAATCTCAACAACCGCAGCCACAAGACCTTAAACCACCTACCCTAAACCCTAAAGTTGCCCTAAACCCTAAACCCTAATCCCTACACCCTAAACCCTAAACCCTAAAGCCTAAACCCTAAGCCACCTAAACACTAAACCCTAAACCCTAAACAACAAGAAACGAGCCTTCCTGGTTTCCATAGCGCTTGGAGGTCGCGGATGCTACAATCGCTACACTGCTACAGGCTATCAGCATCGACCTTTTCACCCCGTAAGCCCTAAACCCTAAACCCTAAACCCGAAACCCTAAAGCCTAGACCCTAAACCCTAAACCCTAAACCCTAAACCCTAAATCCTAATCCTAAACCCTAAACCCTAAACCTATGGAAGATCACCGCTATCACAGCAATGGTCAGCTCGGAGAGGTCTTGGTGAGCGGCCCCATTTTGACAGGCAGGTGTCCAGCAATCAGGACTAAGGGTTTAGGGTTTAGGGATTAGGGTTTAGGGTAGGCCATGCATATTAGCACAAATACCATGCACTGCACTGGTTGCACCGTCATGACGCATGCTGCGCGTCACCTCGTCTCGCAGGGCTTTCAACCCCGAAGAACCCCAACAACAATTAACACCTAAAGAGGACTCCTATAAATTCAAAACCCTCTAAACTCATACACTAACCTACAACTCCCTTCACAGCCCTCAAACCCCAAACCCCCGAACGCACAAATCATACCTCATACAATCTGAAGCCCTAACAAACCCATGGATTTGCTGCCCGGCAACTATCCGAAACGGGTTTAGGGCTTTCGGGCTTAGGGTTTCCGCTTAGGATTAGGATTCTATAAGGTGTAGGGGCCCCAAACCTTAACCCCCAAACCCCTAACACCGAACAAACCTAAATTCAGAGTTCCGCCCTTAAACCCTAAACCTTAAACCCTAAACCCTAAACTCTCCTCCACCCAGAGAGGAAGCTGGCGATTCATTTCTCGATCTTGCAAGGCCATGCTCACCTGCCCAAGTTAAAGGAAACTACGGGTGGGGAGTTTAGGGTTTAGGGTTTAGGGTCTAGGGTATGTAGGGCTTCTATAAGGCTTCCATAAGGTATACAGACCTTCTATAAGGCTCCTACAACGGTAACTACCCACCTGAAAATGTCAAAGGCTAACGCATTACAAGCGAGAATAGGGCTCCTTCCAATGTAAGGATTCGAGTTTAGTTCAAGGGTGCCCCTATACCCTAAATCCTAAACCTAAACCCTAAACTAAACCCTAAACCCCAAACCCTAAACTAAACCCTAAACCTAAACCTTAAAGGATCCGTTAAAGGAACTTTGAAGGGAGCCCTTGAAGGAATCCGAACAGGATTTTTTAGGGTTTGCGGGGTTCGGCCTAGGGGCCTCCTTTACGGGATAGGGTTTATTCAGGGTTTAGGGTTTAGGGCCTAGGATTGAGGGTTTAGGGTTGGGGGTTTAGGGTTTAGGGTTTGGGGTTTTTTGGCCTTAAGGGCTTCCTTTAAGGGTTAGGGTTTGAGCTTCAGGGTTTCCCTTTTCAAGGCTAGAGTTCAGGCTTTCAGGTTTGGGCTCTACGAGGGACTGTCGGGGTTTGGGCAGGTCTGTTTAATTAACTGGGTCTAGGACATTTTCAGGTAAGGACTTACCGTTATAGGAGCCTTATAGAAGGTATATATACTATGAAAGCTTTAAAGAAGCCCTATATACCCTAAACTCCCCACGTGTAGCTTCCTTTAACTGGGACGGCTCAAACAACCCTGAACCCTAAACCCTTAAACCCTAAACCCTAAACCCTAGTCCCTAAACCCTAAACCCCTCAACCCTAAAACCCTAGAACCCTAAACCCCTAAACCCTTCAACCCTAAACCTGCACAGAAGAGGGGGGGTTGAACAGAAGGCCCTCGAAGGGCAGCTTCGACCTGACGATTATTTTCTTAGTGGGGTTTAGGGGTTTAGGGGTTTAGGGGTTTAGGGCTTAAGGTTTAGGGTTTAGGGTTTAGGGTTTAGGGGTTTAGGGGTTCAGGGGTTTAGGGTTGCGGGGGTTTTAGGGTTTGGGGGTTTAGGGTTTAAGGTTTAGGGGTTTAGGGGTTGAGGGTTTAGGGTTTAGATTTTGGGGATACACTTTAGCCTTTCTGGGGGTACCGTAATCCTTTTCTACTCTGAAAGGATAACCTTTAGTTCCCTGAGGTACGGGACAAGTAGGTTTTCACTCTGCACTTAATAAAGGGCCTCAACAACTACCTATATTCTGTTGGGGCGGTTCCTTTTTATAGATCTAGCTATAATGGTCCCCAAAACCCTGTTCGAATTATTAAGGCCCGTATGTTACGGTATGGTGCGTGCCGATCGCCCGGGGATCTTGGGTTTTGGTGTCAGCAAACCCGAACGTACCATCAACAACTGGCTAACGCGAGGTTCAAACTTGAAATGCCCAAGGAAACATTCCTGTTCAGGACGTCGATCTACTAGGTACTTGTTCAGGTTCTTTGCTATATGAGCCTACGTTTCGCTAGACACCCGGTGATGATAGTTTTACCTCTGCTATGAGTCTCTCTTCACGCCCCGTATCTCAGACCAGACCCCCCCATTCCCTGTATTTTAGAGGCCTCAACTCTTCGACTAGGGTTACCTGTACCTCTCTTTGAAATACCTACAGTTTAGCAGCCGTTGCCCCTTTATTAGCAGCTAGAACCCATGAAACCGTAGGTAATTAGAGTCCCAGGTAGGTTTCTTGGCTGACTTCTGAACCCCTCCAAAAAGTTAAACTTTTAGTCTCCTTATTATGGTTCATATAGAAGCCCAAAAAGTTAAAGTCCTAAGAGCCAACCAGAAGAACACCAAGGTTTAGGGTTTCAAGGGCTTTAGACTGTAAACTGCAAACCGCCTGTCTAACGATTCAGACCTCGATGTAGGCTCGAGCTCAAACCTAATGTAGGGGCCTTTATATTTGGAATAGGGTTTTGGGGGCCCATTCTACTATATTTATAGTAAGGAACCCCCAAAATAATGTTAGTAATTATTTAGGCCCTATATTACATTCACCACACCCAACATCCTTCACCCTCACGCCACAGAAGACCACAATAAAGATGAGGATCCCATGTTCGTCGGGATTAGTTTATTCCTGGCACCCTTGCGCCTCTGCGGTGTTTCGGGCCCCTAAATGCAAAAATGTCTATGAAACTCGGATGCCAGCCTTGCAAAGCAACATAAAACCCTTGTACACCCTGTAATAACACCCTTGTAGAACCCTAAACCCTAAACCCCTAAACTCTAAATCCTAAACCCTAAACCCCTAAACCCTAAACCCTACACCCTAAACCCAGAACCTTGTAGAGCCCTTACCAACATGGACCCGTTGAAAAGGGAGGGTTGGAGCGACATTCGCATACGCCTCGACATAGAAAGACTGTGTGACCGCGCTGCCAAAACCGGTCTCTCCATCGAATTGCACCTTCCAGCTAGGCTTCGTGGGGGGTTAAAAGGTTTAACTATTACGGATTTATGGGAGTGTCATAGGTTGCTCGACAACTCCTATAGGGTGTTAAGGGTTTAAAAGCTTTCAGGATTAGGAATTCGGTCTTCAGGAACCCTCGAAACTTTGGGACTAAAACCTAAACCCCTAAACCCTAAACCTCACACCGTCCTGAACACTGATGCCCTGATGTTCGGCAATCCATCATGGTGGGTAGCCTGCACCCCTAGGGTTTAGGGTTTAAGGGTTTAGGGTTGAGAGTCCATGGTGGGTTGCCTGGACCTCAATAATAACGAGTAATCGATCGTACCAACATATACCAACAATACTGCCGCTGGTGCTGTTAGACAGTCAGCAAAAACTTCTTTCGTGCAAAACGAAGACCTCAACACCCAAAGACGATCGAAGAGGAGTATACAGTCGCAGTAGGGTTTCGGGTTTAGGGTTTAGCGAAACAATAACATCGATAACAACTACTACAAGAGTACTAAGCCTGCTCAGCCCCAAACTCCCACACAAAGAGGGCGATGCTAAAAACCAAACACAAAACCCTGACAAGCTCTGGCACAAGAGACTATAATCACCCTACAAAAAACAAAGAGAGATACGGAGAGAAGCCTCAACAATGGAGTCCTTCAGCGGGAACCCTATTTCAGAACCCTGTGGTACCCATGAAGGAAACGCTATGATAGAACCCTGTAGTACCCTTAACGGAACCCTGCTCCAATCGAACCCTATCAGTCCGTAAACCCTAAACCCAAACCCTCAACCTATAAACCCTACGCCGTCAAAGCCCTAAATCCTAAACCCTAANNCCCTAAAACCCTATAAACTCTAAACCGTCTGAGCAGAAGCGCCTCTAGCATGTGGCCGGAGCCTGCAAGCAGGTCCATAGCGACCTCGGCTTGCCTTCAACAAAGCAGTTTAGGGTTTAGGGTTTCGGGTTTAGGGGATTGTAGGATTTAAGCTTTAGGTTTTTGGTTGTATATAGTTTTCAGCGTTTCGGCTTTAGGTGCAGAGTTTGGGCTTTAGGTCAGAGGGTTTAGCCTTTCGGGTTTAGGTTTGGTCGAGCTCGGATGGCTACCGCTGTTCTGGGAACCCTCTTGCTTTGTTTTGACTATACCTTCCTAAAACTAGCAAGTGGCCTCAGCCCTAACCCTCAACCCTATACCCTAAAACTTTCAATAAAACCTAAACTTTGAATAAACCCTAAACGTCCCAAAAACCTAAACTCCTAAACCCTAAAACCCTAAATGCCCAAACACCCTCTTCTCTAAAACCCTAAACCCTGAACATGCCCGCAGCCTGAACGCCAAAACCCCAAAACCTGAACCTTGGGAGTTCGATACGTCCGGCCGTTGTGGGAAGGTTCTGGGTCGGTTTTGAGATTCCCTAAACCCTGGACCCCAAGCCCCAAAAACCAACTGGGCCCTGAACTATAAACCCCTAAAGCCGTAAAGCCCTAAACTTAGGCTCCCGTTTTGGGTCCCCAAGAAAACGGCCCTCTAACAAAAAGGAACTCAAAAGGGAGCCTACGTTGCTTGCCGGCTTTTATAACTTTTGCCGGTACGCCGGCTTACGGCTGCGATTATGGAGGAGGGTTTAGGCGGTTTAGGGTGTCGAGGTTTGGGCCAAGGGGAGGGTAGCTGTTCCTAAAAGTTTGTAGCTGCAACTCTACGTGTTGGAGCTAAATCCTATCCTTGAACCCTAACACGTGGTCTGCCGTGTTTGTCGTGTCATTGTGGGATTGCCGAAAACCCAAACCCCAAAACCCTAAACCCCAAAACCAAAACCCTAAACCCCAAATCCTAAACCTGAACCCCAAAACTTCCTGATTTTCTGTTTAAATTCTAGCACAGTGAAGTCCAATGATGGGCTTCTAGGGCCTTCGGTTTTGCCCGAGAGGCTTCCTTCTTAACACTGAGTAATCTCGGGTCGACTAGTCCCTTGTCATCCCTAGTAGTTTGATAGTGTAATGTACCCAATATACTTCAAAACCCGATTCTAACGGTTGATGCCCCTATACTAAGCCTTCATAAGACCCTATTATTATTATTACTATTCTTATCATCATCAAACCGCTGTCAAAAGAATCCTTTTATCGGAACTCTGCTCTAAAGCCTAACCCCCAAACCCTGGCACTTGTATTACCAGGAGAAAGGGGTAGCCTTCTTGTGCAGGGCTCACTAGGAGTCAAAGGTTCCCTTAGTGTTTCAGGGATTAGGGTTTGGGCTTTAGGGTTTAATTAGGGGTTAGGGATTAGGGTTGTGGTAAGAACCGTGAGAACCAACCTCGAAGTGGGGTTCGGGTGGTCTCGGGTTTAGGGCTTGATGGCTTAGGGTTGGGGGGTTGTTAGGGTTTAGAGTCTGAGGTTTCGGGAGTGTTTATGTAATGGTTTAAGGACTAAAATTTAGGGTTTTAGGGTCTACCACGTACCCAGCAAGGCCACATATATGACATGAGGGCCTGAATAATTGGAACAGGGTGGTATATCATACTATAAATATAAACGGGAACCCCCATACGAGTGTCGCCATGCAGGTAGGCCTCATGATGAGATACAAGCGCCGCGACTCCGATGCTCGACTATTGCACCGTACTCTGCGTAGAGCATCCGGAGCTTTACAACATGCTGTAAAAAAATTTGGCAAGTCTCGCTTCAAGCGCCTCAGAAGGGGTGCTTCTACGGCTGCTGCTGCTGGCTGCTGCCTGAGCACCTGCCGCGGGCGTGGTTTCGACCGCGGCCGTGGCCTTGGCCTTGGCCCATGCTGTCATCCCTGTGACTTCGCGTCGCTCATCAGTTCTTAAGGGCTCTAGGGTTTAGGGGTTTAGAGGTTTAGGGTTTAGGGTCCTAGGGGCTTAGAGAGAAGGGCTATACTTGGGGTTATAAGTCTCCTAAGCGGGGTTGTCCTAATTTTTAACCTTCGTTTCAAGTCAGTATACCCATCGATCCCACAAGCCTAAAAACCCTAAATCCTAAACCTTCTACCCTAAACCCTAACCTTTCCTTAAACCCCAAACCCCAAACACCAAACCCTAAACCCTAAACCGTAAACCTAAACCCCTGAGCCGCTCCCCTTCACGAGCCGGACCCCCAGGATTGATCTGCCTAAACCCTAAACCCTAAACTCTACACAAAACCAGACTTTGGTAGTTCAAGTTATCAAGGTAGGGTCTGCCGTAACTGACGAGGCCTCAGACTGTCGGCCTGTCGGCTTCAGATTTGATGGGGGCATGTGATGGATAAATCTCTTTGGGTTTAGGGTTTAGGGTTTCAGGTTTAGCGTTTGGAGTTGAGGGTTTAGGGTTTAGGGTAAGAGGCGTACTAGTAAAATCCCGAAGGGGCTTTGACGGGGTTCCTGTTTGGATTTTAAGTTGTTCACGGCCAACCAACAGCCGGAACCCCAAATCTGAACCCTCAAGCCGCTCAAACCCAAAATCTTCTGAAAGCCCTCTCAACCCCTATACAACCCGAAGATTCTAAACCCTAAATCCTTAACTCTAAAACTTTAACCATGAACCTTTAACCCTAAACCCTACACCCTAAACCTTAAAAACAAAAACGGAGGCCTGAGTAGTAGGTCACCTTTGCTGACCTTCACAAGTGTGCTTTGCAACCTCGGCGGATCTCACAGATGGTGCTTGGAGGGTTTAGGGTTTAGGGTTTACGACTTACTTTGAAGATATACATCCGGCATTATCTTTCAAGGACCCTAAACTATGGGAATTGTGGTATATCATCGGCCCTAGTAATTAGGGTTATAAGCAAGCTAACTATAGTTCTATTAAACCGCAAACCCCTAAACCCAAAACCCGTGATTCTTGAACCCGCAAACCCTGAACCCCTAAACCCTAAACCCTGAACCCTAAACCCTAAACCCTGAACCCCTAAACCCCTAAACCGTGAACTCCTGAGCCCCAACCCGAGACCCTGAACTCTAAAAACCAATCGCCGCGAGAGAAGCTCCCGTTTCCGCAAGGGGATCCAATAATAATGTTTAGGGTTTAGGGTAATCCCTACTATTTTCCCCAGAATGGGGAAAGGGTTTATTAATCAGGGGTGTGCATTGTTGGCATTGGGTTTGGGGTCACAAGTTATCAGGGCATAAAGCCTGAGCCATAACCCCGGAACCCTAGCCCTCAAAACCCGACCCGAAACTCCAAGGGAGGGCAGTGGAGTCAGCGCAAGCGCGAACAGTGTGCTGCATTCCCGGCTTCACGGTTTCTCATCTTCTAGCTAAAGAATTACTTGTTCAGCTTCGCCAAGACATGTTTCTTACCATGCTCATTTTCGATACTGCATTGCATCTTCAACAGTTGGTCCCGAAGGCAAAGCCTAAACCCCAAAGCCTAAGTCTTCTGAACCCTAAACCCTAAACC